AATAATCCTAATACCTTAGATCATTTATCCGAGGCAACAATATCCGAGGCAACCATTCCGAGGCAACTTGATCTTTGGACAAAAGGACGACCACTAAAACATCCTATACTCAATGACCGTTTACCGAAGGCAACCAAGTGGAAGTGTACCCTAGGAGTGCGCATGTGCGAATGATTCAATTTTAGATTATTTTATCTTTGCACATTTAGGGTGATCTAACTGTTTTAAAATTAATCATACATTCTTGTCATGCATCCCTATATCATACATCTAACAGTTAATAATTTGCGGAATTTAAAGTGTGGAATTTAAACTACGCTATTACAAGGCTTCACGTATTTACATAGCCAAAAACAAACCCTTTGAAAATAAAGCGATAAATGTAAATAAACGTCCTAATTAAACTATTACAAACTGTAGGCAGTTACATCAATATGGTAAATAATAAAAATAAAGCGCGCGAGAAGAATTAAGATCGACGAGAATTTAAGGTTTTGACCCTTCTAACCTAATTAAAAGAAAAATTGTTTTTTTGTTGTTTTTAATAAAAGGAATAAGTTTCTAAATTAAATATGCAATTAATTAGTTAATTAAATTAATTAATAAAAATAATTACATGACCTATTTTGGTTTCTTTGGTTATTTTAGGAAAAAATAAAATATAATTAAGTTAGTAATAAAACCTATTTATTCTAATTATTTTTAAGTTATTTACAAAAAGAAATTAAAGTTTTACCTAAAATTAAAATTTAATTAAGAAAAAATCCTAAATCTATTTTTATGTGATTTTTATATTTGTTTATTGATAAAAAATAAAAGGGATTAAAAGAAATAAACAAAACGAATAAAACATGAAAATAAAGATGGGCCTAGTAGCAAAAGTAAACAGGGGGGTGCAATCATCAAAAATCCCTAGGCCCGAATCTTCGAAAGCTTCATGCTCTAACTATGGTGTTTTTTGATTCTTGCGTGGAACCTATGATTCAACCATCCATAACTGTTCTATATAAACTCAAACAAACGTTAGCATACCATAAAATATGATTAAAATTAGAGATTCAAAGTTTAAAATTTTACCAAACTGGTACTGTCAAATGGGGGCGTGTTAGGCGTGTGATGGATTGCTCTTGGGCCTTGTAAGACTCCTGAGGACTTCAAGAGGATGGTTTGAGGCTTGATGTCAATTGAGAGAGACCAGAACCTCGAGATATGACTTGCACCAATTCTTTGATTTCCGGAGAGCTTTTTGAAGAGCTTTTGGAGAGCTTTTTGAAGAGCTTTTTGAGAGCTTTTTAGAGAGGATTTTCGTCCCTTTCAAGCTTGTATGACTCTATATTTATAGAGGAGAATGAGGATACAAGAAAGCATGGAAAGAATCTCCCTCATAATGTTGTGTTTTAAGACCATGATCAAAATTTGAAAAAAATGCCATATTTGATGATTTTATGCCATTTTCACATGTGGATGAAACTGGACATATTTGAAGAGTTATTGCACGAAATAAATTGACATAAACCAGCATAAAACTTTCCCAAAATGGATTCACATCAAAATTTATATTATTTCTATTATTTATTTATTTAATTCTGAATTTTAATGAATAAAATATCAAAATAAATAGCATAAATAGTATAAAAATGTATGGGTGGGATTAGAGGTCGTGGACCATGTTAGGAATGAGTTTCAAACTTGAAAAGATAGGCCCATTTGGAAAAAATCCAAGTTTGGTCAATATTTGCTTCATGCATTTTTTCAAAAATTGTCCAACTTTGACAATGCATATCTCTCTCAATTTTAACCTTATGAGGGTGTTCTTGGACTTTTTAGAAATCTTAGGATGTCCCCTAAGAGACGTATTTGGTTTCATCTCAATTGTATCTTCCATGTTCATGTAAGAAGCTTTGACCCAAAAGGTGTTTTTGTTGACTTTCCAAAATGACCTATAATGTCCAAATTCATAACTTCTTGTGAGTGCATATTTTGAAGTTGGGAGATGAATATGGATAGTAGGTAATTGCATCCTCTTAAAAATGAGATTTAGATGGGTCATTCCTAATAAAGTATGAGAAAGTTATGCTTGGTCAAAGTTGAGTTGACTTTTCCTACAAAACCCTAATTTAGCAACTTTTGAGTCTTGATGAATTATGAGCAATCCTTGATGAATCATGATCAACCATTGATAAAATGATGAAATATACTTCAAAATGAGTATGTTGACCAAAAATCTTGAAGTTTGAATGTATGTGGGTCACAGTTGACTTTTGCCCTAGCATAGTCGATTTTTAGGCCTTTGAGCAATTGACTGAGCAAACTTCCTCTGCAATACTTGAAACTTGACATGGATGATCTTGAGAACATATTAGGACAATATTGAGCATTTGGGGTCCCTTGGACTCAAGTATCTTGATGCAACATGAAACCCTAATTTGAGGTAGACTGCCTTAGGAGAGAGCTTGTCTGGCCAACCCTTGGACTACCTTGAGCAACTTGGGGATCTTTCTTGAAATGTTTTGAGAAATATAGGAGGGAAAATTTTAGGGTACAACAGGTGGCAATAGGTTTGCATGCATCCATGTCAAATTTCTTCAATAACTATTTACAATATTTTGATTGATGAATAAAAGTTCTCGTTGCAAGTTGCTTGATTTGTAATCCAAGAAAGTAGTTCAATTTACCCATCATGGACATTTCGAATTCTCCTTGCATCATGGATGAAAATTCTTCACACAAGTCCTTATTTGTTGATCCAAAGATGATATCATCAACGTAGACTTGAACAAGCAGAGTATGGTTCTTGATCTTGTTAATAAAAAGCGTCTAATCCACTTGTCCCTTTTCAAAGCCCTTTTCACATAGAAAATTTCTAAGTTGAGCGTACCATGCCCTTGGTCCTTGTTTTAAACCATAAAGTGCCTTTTTCAACTTGAAGACATGTGAAGGATTCTTGAAGTCTTCAAAACCAGAAGGTTGTTTGACATAGACTTACTCATTGATGTATCCATTCAAGAATGCACGTATGAATGCATGAATGTAAGGCTTAGTGATGGGATTTTATGAAAGGTACCCTTAGAAGTTAGGCTCCTAGTTTGGGCCTATGGATATTCTACCCTTACCATAAGGTGATTTCCTTAAGTTTATCATGAATAACACTAGAGGGAAAGGCACAAGGGCCTCCCTTAAGTGAATCCTCTTTACAGACCGAAACTTTCGTCTTTAGGTCTTGAAAAGTCTCATTATGAGTTTTTTGGTTTAAAGGCCGTACAAAAAATAGTCATAAGTGTCATTCCAAAGTCCTACTTTCCAAGAGGATGTGTCTTGAGAGGTATTCCTTTCGCGGAATTCCACCAACTCTAGGCGAAGTCGTCACATAAACTCATAGGGATGATGTATCCCTTTGGCTAATAGACAGACCTTCTTTCTAAGGGTTTTTGAAAATATTTTTTGCAAAAATTAAATCCCACCATAGATATAAAAATATGATAAAAACAAAAAAATAAATGAATAAAATAGATAATTAATTTAAACAATGAATAAAAACTCAAGAAATAAAGAGAATTAAAAAAACCCTAAAACCTAAAGGAAAGACTTCTAAACCTAGGGTTGAGTCCCCAAGGAAGTCGCCAGCTGTTGCAACTGGTTTTAAATACAGAGTCGTCACCCTTAATTTTTATCGTAAGGAAGGGAATATAAAGGAATAACCCTAAAAAAGTTCTAGGATTCTATATTGGACTCGGTTCTAGATGAAAGGAAAGTGTTAGGCACCCCTCATCTACCTTGTTCACAAGGATACTAGGTTTAGAAGCGCGATTTTTAGGAAATAGGATTTTTATTATTTTATTAGGGGAAAAAGGTTTGAGTTTTAATTAGGGGGACTCACCATAATTTTAATCATATGCCTACGTATCCTCTTATGAGAAATCAAAGTCTCAATTCGTAGTCCGCAGTTGTTTGGTTAGTATTTTTTATGGGACGTAGAAATACCTCGAATTCTTCTTGAACCAAGTCCGAGTTTATAAATTGCGGAATCGTGAACATAGCTCGCAGTCGATAAAAGATGTTAATACAACCCTTTTTGAAAATAAACATAAATTTGATTATGTTAGTGAAGAAAAATGTTAGTGTTTATTGGTTAGCTATTTTCAAATGTACAATGCAATTATGAAAATAAATTAATTTGAATATAAAAATATTTAATGCAAATATGTTAGTATTCTTTACAAAAAAGAGCTTAAATAAATATATAATAAGTTTATTAAAGCAAACTAGATATTTTTGATGAAAATATTATAATTATTTACTAGTGTAAAAACAATTTTTATGTAATAAATTATAAAAAATAAATAAATATTATACTAAAAAAATAAATTAACAAATAAAAAAAATACAGGGGGTGTAAATTGAGTTAAGGTAGTAAAATCAGGGGGTGCTAACAGCATGAGCCTGAATTCATAAGTGAAAAGGTATGAATTCAGTTTATACAACGAAATAGGGGGGGTGTGAGAAGTGGAGGGTTCAAGTCCAGATTTTGGATTGGGCCCAATAAACCAGGAGGTATATTTTTCACGCGGTTAGTAAAGTAAAACAAAAAGTGGATGGGAATAGAAGTGGGCTCGACCCATGATAATTTGAGTCTGTTTGGGACAAAATATAGTGTTTTCCCCTTACACAACCCTTTTCTTATTTCATTCATTGTCTCTCTTGTCTCTCTCTTTCTCGCCATCTTCCTCTTCTCTCAATAATAACACAACAAACCCTAAATAACTCCGGCGGCGGCGGTCAACGAGAAGATCCAACCACTCTAAACCCCAAACCAACACAACAACCACGATAATCAAAAGAAAAAATGTCTATTTGTTACCTTCTATTTGCAGGCATGGTGGTTAAGGTGGTATGGAGCGGCGGCGGGTTTGGTGATGGTGACGACAACGACGATTGAAGGGAGAATAGACTAGGGTTTCAGATGTTGAAACCCTAGGTCTTCATTGAGGATAGCTCCGGTGATGGTGATGACACAAGGTTTCATGAAGGAGGGGTTTTTATTTTTCTCTGCATTTTTCGGTTCCCCCTCTGTAACAACTCTCGCTCCCTGTAACGATTTGTCTCACTGTTCTGTCAATTCCCTCCCCATCTGTAATAATTTCTTCACTTCTGTAAACTGTAATCTTCTTTGTTCTGTAAATTTTGTCCCTCCTCTCTAATGTCCTTAGTTGTTATGTTTTATATCAATTTTTAGGATTAGATTTAGGAAACAATATTATTTTGTTGTAATCAGTTTGATTTTGTATTGATTAAAATCATGAATGCCAATAATATTTGTTTCTATTTGGTGATCAGTTTCCGTATCCGGTTTTGCTTCTGTGTTAATCCAAGATTTTGTTTCCGCTTTAGTTCAAGACTGTTCTAGAAAGGGTTTGAATAGAAGATCTGATTCTGTTTCTACGATTGATTCGCACAGTAGGTGTTTGCGACTTGGGCCATGCTTTTTCCTGGATTTTGGACTGGGCCTGACTTGTTCTTTGGATTTGGGCTTTGGACCGGTAACAAGGACTGCATGATGGTCCCACATTAATCAAGCATTGTATCTTCAAATTTTAATAAAACAGTTTGTTTAGTTTCATAAAATAATGGCTCCTAAGATATCATGTAATGTTAACTGATGATAATGTTTAGTAAGCAAAAAGAAAGGAAAAAAAAAGCAATTTCTTATAAACAAAAACTGCAATGGACTTTCAAAAAAATGTAATATGGGCCTCTAAAAAAACTTTTAATGGGCCAGGAGGCTAAAAATGGTCTTTCTGATTTTAGAAAGCCCACCAGCATTTAATTAAAATACAAACTCCTATATAACAATGCACCTCCCTTTTTAACTTGAAATGGACTCTTTTAAACACCTAATGGGCCATTGGATATTGATGGTCCATTTTGGATCAGTACACCCCTCTTTGATTTTAAACACCCTCCTACAATATTATTTATTTAAATAGAATCCTAAATAAGGGCAGGACAAATTTTGGGTATGACAATTTTTGTTTCTCATTTCTCATGCTTTTTATTATTACGTAACTCGCTCTACTACTCTCCTTAGTACTTCATAATTGGCGAAGAAATTCTCCGATTCCATTTGAAGGTATTATACATCAATTTTAGCAATACATAATAATTTATATTAGTTTGGATATCAATCTGAACATAAATGAATTTTCCAGACGAATTTGAGAGGAACCGATCCAAAGTTTGGTTAAGTAGAGTGATACTTTGTTTGATGTTCTGCATCTATTCTATCTGAATCATCACACTATAGTTTCTGGTGGTGTTATTCATGTGCTGGCCGAGATAATTGTTATTATAAAGCTTCAGTGTTCATGTCTGGTATGACCTTTTTGTCATCCGACATTTCAGGAGTTGCTCATCGTGCGGTGTTGGAGCCTTCTTCAATTAGTGTTGTAGCTGCTATCCTCATGGGTGTCGTCGTTCCAGTTTGTTTGTTTGTAGGATTCTGTTCTATTTCTGGTCTTCTGGCGCAACAGGAATAAGAGGTATGTTATCAAATAATACATATTTTCTTGATTACTAATTATTATATGATGTATTATTTCTGCTGTATTTCAATTCAAATGTACTCTTTTTTAATGTTGATTTTTTATTGGCTTGACTTTGGACTTTCTTAATTGAACCAATCCTATTCAGATATTTATGTCTCACAATTTGAACATCCTTTTTGTAGTGTGGACCTGTGCTATGAGTTTATAGGTGTTATATGTATAGAAAATCAACAGACAATGTTACTAGAAAAGATGCAAAGCAAGGTCCAGAATTGACTCTCTTATACCAGGATGCCATAGATGTATCTAGAACGAAACGCCTAGCTGATCCTCATATTAACATACAAAAGAATCAAATTGCACCCATTTGGAGTTACATTTTTCATATTTCATTTTAGATATCAACAAGTATTGAATAGAACACCATAAACTTGGGCTTAATGTATGTTGAGAAATTAAGTTATTTGCTTTCCCTTACATTTGTGAGTATTCTATACATTATTGTTCTCTTTTCAAGTGTGATAAGTTGTTTATTCTTCTTTTTCCTTCTATGTTTTGCATCTTGCATTTTCTTAGCTCCTTCAACTGCATGGTTTTGTCGTGTTTTTAATCTTATGTGAATTCCATGTGCACAATAACTTTGCATGTTACAATTTATAGAGTTTAACATCTGTCTGCGATGATTACAAGGTTGCATTACTGTACATTAAATTTAATATGTTTCATTATGTATTTAAACAGGTTAGTGCAGGAGCCATCATGTTTATGGATTGCGTTTATTGGCTTATGTATCAACACAGATTGTAGGAACATGTGGCTATGCTGCCCCGGAGTACATTGTCACAGGTATTGTCACTATAAATATCCTCTTAATCCCTTCCATTACTAATCTATCGATGAAATTGATTTTATTACTAATTTATCGACAAAATTGATTTTTAATCTATCACCTTGTATTTGTTGAGCTTGTAGTCACATAGTTCTCCATGTCTGTGTAGGTATGTGTCTATATATATGTTCACAAGTTTTGCACACAAAACATTGGTCTTGACATACTTTTAATCCAACATCAAATTTTGTAAAATATGTATCTGAATAAGTTTTTTTGCAGAGAGTGAGATGTTATTGAGCAGTGTAATGATATTCAAGTGTTACATTGGTGTAATTTGATAATTTTCATTCATATCCTGCAAATATTAGTATGACAGCATTGCCATATTTATCAGGTACAAGATTTGTAGAGATTGTTTTATAGATGCACTAAATGAAAATGGAAAGTGTCCCGGATGTAAGGAGAATTACCAAGTAAGAGAATATGAAGATGATAGCAATGAATATTTAAATGGAACATTGCCATTAACTGCGTCAAGTTCCAGAAACAATATGTCAGTTATGAAGAGAAATCAAAATGGAGAACTTGATCACAATAAATGGTTGTTTGAGACGCAAGGTACCTATGGAGTTGGAAATTATTATTGGCCTCCAGATGATGAGGATGGTGAGAATGGTGATGGTCCTCGTGAAGGAATATTTGATGCTGCTGAGAGGCCTTGGAAGCCTTTGTGCAAAAAAAAACACAGATTCCATCTGGCATCATAAGTCCATACATGTTAGATTTATTTATTATCGTCCTTCCATAGCTTTAATTCAACAAGTTATTTACTATATACTCACATGTTGGTTAGTTATAATCATTACCTAAATTTGCAAACATTCAATCAAATTGCAGGTAGCTTCAACCACCAATCTCTTAATGAACAACTACGACAAGTCTCCAAGAGCTTGCTGCTGCTGCAGCTACAGCTGAGCGAGAACTCTACTACTGAATTTAAAAAATCATCTATCTTTTTCCTCTCCTTTGGCAAAGAAAATTACATTGATCTGTTCCTACATAACTCTTGCAGCCCAATTAAATCATAACGCGCAATATTTTGCTACCATTTTGGTCAATCAGATGACAAATGCAATGAAGCATCTGTATGAAGCAAATGCAAGGAAAATCATATGCTTAGGAGTTTTACTTTTGGGATGTGCACCACGTATAGCATGGGATCAAATCAGACACATCAAATGGCGATGACATTAACGGAAATGGTTGTGTAGATAATGTCAACGATTGGATCTTGGAATACAACAAAATGCTATATAAACACATAGTCCAGCTTAATGCTGAGTTTTCTGATACTCATATAGTGTTCTGTGATGTATACAGTGGAATATTGGAGATTATAAACAAACCAAGGTTTTATGGTAATGCTTTATACAATCAATATGATGTTTTATATCATATGAAACTAATAAATATTCTTGTGAAGGAATTTTACGAAGTGTTTTTCGAATACAGGTTTTGAAGACACAAAGACTGTATGTTGTGGACTTAGTTTGATGGTGCAATGATAAGGTGCATCTCTACAAAAATGGTTTGTAATCAAGTTGTATCACATATCACAGAAAATCATGGTTTATTCAAATTTCATTGCAGTAAAACCTCTTTGTTGGTTTAATACAACTCAGGGCGAGAGAAAGAGTCAGTCACATAAATAGTATAGTAAATCTTTTAGGGTAGTTCTCACTGTAATAATATATCTTTCTTGAAGTATTGATTTGATTCAATATCTTGGAAGTTGCATTCTACAAAGTAATAAGTTACTACTTTCGTCTTAAAATATATGATTTCTTTTCAAAACTACTTTCTCTTTTTAGGGGACCATTTTTTTTTTTCAACTGCATTGATTATTTCTTTACGAAACGTTAAATAAATTAATACAACCTTATCATACCAAGTTTGAATTAAATAACAGTAACCCATTTCCAATCTAATTAGGACACTAACCTTGTTTTCAACCCGTGTCTCAATAATGATAAAATATATTATCTTTATTATCAATTAAAAATAAATATTAAACACAATTAATTATATTTATTATGATAATTTAAATGCAAAAGTAAATCACTAATTCAAATATAGGACACTTATAAAATAATTCTTTTATTTGTATAAAAAATTAAAATAATTGTAGATATCTTTTATATTAAATAAACTTGATTAAATATGAATACTACCGTATCTAGGTTCATATTAACTAATTAAAATAATATTTATATACAAAAATAAAAAATAAAATTGGATCAAATCATAACTTATCATATTTTTAAAGAAATTAAAAATAATTAATACGTGAACATAAAGTTACTGATCAAAATATTGAATATTAACAGGAAATAAAATTACTGATGAAAATATTGAATATTAACAAGAACATGAAATTACTAATCAAAATATTGCATATTAATAGAAACATGAAGTTACGGATCAAAATATCGAATATTAACTAGAACATGAAATTACTAATCAAAATATTAAATATTAACGGGAACATGAATTTAATAATCAAAATATTTGTCCACTAATTATGCATTCAATTTTTTTTCAATAACCATTAAAAATAGTTAAATTACAGCGTACCACACCTTCAATAACCATTTAAGATACAAAATTATTTAAAATAATATATAGAGTTATTTAAGATACAAAATTATTTAAAATAATATATGAAAAATTAAAATATATATTATTGATGTAAAATAATTTTAGTAAAATAATTTTTATTTATTTTAAAAATATATGTTTCTTTTAAAAATAATAAATTACTTTG